GGTCATTTCGTTTTTCGCGATTATCTCGGAAACTATGAGAGATAGAGCCTTAAAACCTAAATTTGGGTTGTTCTATTGGGAGATGGACGGCTCAGAGTTGCGTTTTTCCACTTCCTACACCCTATACAATATAAATTAAATTAATTTTTTTTTATCATTTTGTTTTTCGCGATAATCTCGGAAACTATGAGAGATAGAACCTTGAAACTTATCCCATTCGATTCCTGAGGAAATTTTGGTTCCGTATAGGCAGATGGACGGCTCAGACTGGCGTTTTCCCACTTCCTATACCCTATACAAGATAAATTGAATTAATTTTTTTTGGCCATTTCGTTTTTCGTGATTATCTCGGAGACTATGAGAGATAGAGCATTAAAACCTATTCAATTAAATTCCTGTGGAATCGCTTAACCACTTCACTATTGAATTCATGCCAGTCTCATCAAAGATTGACATGAAAAACTTAGACTTAACTAAGACTTCATGAGAAAAATTCTCAGTGATAAATCATTTTTTTTACCTTTTTGAATTTATATTTCCTGGTTACACTCAACAACGCAACTGAAGTTTATCCATACTACTTTAAACGCATGAAAATATGCGTAGAATGACCTTGAGAAAAAAAAACATTCGTCCACAAAACGAATAAATCCACCCATTGAATTCCATAAACTGAACGCAATCATTTCTTCTTTTAGGTAAAAATATATCACCAAAATGGACTGGCAAAAGTCCCTGAAGAAGAGCCGTTAAAAGACCCATCGAGAAGAAATATAAAAGACGAATCCATTGCCTCGCCTTCTCTCCACCCGCCATAAAAAACACTATTCATAAAAAAATTGCAGAATCACGTAGAATAAACAAGGAGAAGTGGAAATTAAATTAAATCATCCGGAGGAGATAAAAGTGTTTTCTCCACGAAATAGTTGACAACAAACTGGCATGTACTGTCTAAGTGTGGCATGCAGATGCGGTGGTACCGGGGACAATGACGTTGGCGCGAGATGAGACTGGAACTGGGATACAACGGGAATACGACAGCGAGAAGAGGAGGTGGTGGAGGAGACTGGGTGGTGCGGAGGAAGAAGCGCCACAGCCATGTCATGGGAGTCTGTCGCGTCCAAGGATTACCTCGGGTATATAATACCAGACATCAATATTCCTCTTTTTCCCCCCTCCTCCCAGACCGTTTCTCCACGCATCGATACCATTTTTTAACTGACCTGAATACATGAATTGATTTCATTTTTTATTTATGGATTGTTTGTGCGGTCTTTCTTATTTTGGGGGATTTTTTTTTTTACTTGAGGTTTTTGAATTATAAATTTCCTATTTTATACTATTCTTTTGCCTTGACATTGTTTTGAGACGAGAATCGGTGAGAGGAAATTGATTGGATTGTACGGAGACGTTGGACTTTTTGACTTAATTTGGAATTTATATTTAAGCTTTTTGCGGAGAAAACAGTTTGAGTAAAATTACCAAACAATTCATGTAATTGTGAAGCAAAATGCATTTCTAAAGAGCCAAAAAATGCGAGAAAATAGTAATTTTTGGCCGCTGAGTTGAGAAAAGTGACTAAACGTGCGGTTAATTTGTGCCGTTACTCTAAAATTTACTATTCATGCCATAGGTCGGCAGAATCATAAATTTTACATTATTAAATTAATGAGTAATTAAATATCCAAATTTCGTATTATTTTATCAATCAATAATGGAGTTCGAAGAATAACAGTATTTCGCTAGTCGGAAATCTCTTTTAAGACATTTGAAAATATTTGCCCCGTAGTCAATTTACAATCCCATATATTAATTATTTAATTCATAGTTAATTGGAAATTCAAATTATCAATTATTACGATTACCTTTCGTATAGTAAAATTTGCCACGATTTTCCAGTACTTTTCATTCAACTTGTTTCTCTGTGTACAGAGAAAAAACGTTTTGGTTTTTAGGGATATGTCTCTAACTTTCAGTGATCCATCCCTAGTTTTTAGGACTCTATCCGGAATTTTTAGGGATTCGCGATTACTAAATTCGACACCTGCAAACTTCTAGAATTAAATGATCTTGTTACTGATTTTTAATGACATTATCACTCATTTCCAATGACATCGTCACTATTTTTCAGGGAAATGTCAGTGATTTTCAGGGACCCATTTCTAGTTTTTATGAATCTATCGTCAAATTTCAGTGATAGAAATCACTGATGATCGGGGTATTCTACTCAGTGTCCAGTATCACCAATAATTGGTGATAGATTCGTAAAATCAGTGATCGATTCCTGAAAACCATCGACATATTTCTGAAAATAAAAATTTTCAATTCTCTACGTTTATTCAAAGTTTTTTACTCTGAGAAAATGATTATTTTTCTCGACAACGATGTTTCACGAGAAGTTTAATATTTTGTATTATTCTTCTGTATGTGGAAGGATGAAATATTCATCCAGACGATTATTTCGATGACCATACAGTAAAAAATCCAGAGTGAATTTCGACTCTGAGTCCATACCAAACGGAGTGAAAATAAGTCCACACCGTTTTTCAGTGTGAATGCACGGAGTTAATTCATTCCGGAGTGAAATACAGCAAGGGGAGTGAAAATTGGCACTGCCAAGGAGTCATAATGAACATATTAATCAACACAGCTCACTGTGAAAAATAAAAATAGACTCCGTACCAAAATTTGACACCGGGCAAAAGAGTTAATTTTAACAACGGAATATTTCTATTTTTTGACCCCTCACACCAGAGACAGTGACACCGATTTTTTCTACTGTGCAGTGATTTTGCGGGAAATGTGGCGAGACGCTACACCTCAAAATTTTCTCAACATTTCAAACTTTCTCCATTTCTTTGCATTCTCAATGACAGAATAAATTGTTACTTCCCCTTCAATTTCATTCAATACTTTCATTCTCATATCCCCTCACACAAAAGCTATTTGCATACTGGAAGCTTTCTGATGCACAAATAAAGTTACTTACATTCTCATGTCACCAAGAGTATCCTCAAACTTACAAAAGCCAGAGAAAGACAGACTGAGTTTTGGTATTGAAATTAGGATAGTGCATGTACAGTGTAGAAGGGAAAAGTACTTTGGTAACATTGCCACCCAGAATTGTCGTCAGTAAAACCATTTTCCACGGAGATGGAGTGTCAGAGTTACGTACTTTGCGCCAAAAAAAAAAATTCCATTCATTGTTTACACTAATGAAAGGAGTTTTTTTGTGTTTAACTTCTGGAAACTGCAGTAGTCGCATTGCGGTGAGGATGGAGAAGGGTGAGAGGACAGAGAGTAGTGTTTTCTCAGGCGCGTGATTCCATATCCTCGTGGCTGGAATCCACGATGCTGCCACGGGTTTGCAAACTCGGTCTCCGGGCCACTGGCCAAGAACCCTTTATCTTCGGTGATGTATAGTCGTTTCCCCTTCTCTGTTTGTGTCTCTTTCTATCAACAGTCTCACACTCTTCATACCACTTTTTATGCCATTGCTCCATTATCGTAGAAAATCACTTCTTAAAATTGCGCTAATTGAGTTTCACTTCAGTTTTTGTGGAAACATTTGGGTAATTTAATTTATTGAACTGATGAACTCGAGTTGATCGAATTTAGAGCATATTTATGTGCTTTGTGTATATACTATTAGAGAAATTTTGTTATTTTCTGGATATTCGAACGATTTTTAATTTGATTTAGAGAGGAAAACTCATTGAATTTCGCATTTCACTAGAAATTAGACGGAATTTAAAATTTCTGAGCAACAGAAAGGCGAGGATTGCTGAACTTACTTGAAGTTTCAATCAAAATGTACATATGTCGTACGAAAAGACGCTGAATTTTCAATTAATTAAACGTTCAAGAATATTTCAATTTAAAAAAATCCAAAATTTTCCGGAAATAATTGAACTGAAATGTGCATTTTCCATTAATTTTTCTATCAAACGCCGAATTTTCAATAACGAAATAGTTCGAAGTGTCACTCGAGCTGATAAATATTTTTAAGAAGTATACCTAAATTCATAGATCGGCATCAATCATTAGTTTAGTAATATTATGAGATGTTGCACCTTACAATAATTAAAGTTTACTTATTTTTATTGAAAGTTGAAAAATAATAAAATAATGAATAATTTAAATTTTCGATTGACTATGAATTAAATAATTGATAATATCTAATTGTCAATTGAATATTCAGTAAATATGTCTAAATTTCGTAAAAGGGATTTTTGCATTTGACTGAAATTGCGTGAACGCAAAATTCTGGAATTTATAAATTTTGTCACCAATTTCCAGAATAAAGCCACTGATTTTCAGGGACTCCTCTATAATTTCTAAAAATTATAAATAAAAAGTTATCCATCACCAAATTTCAGCGATAAAAATCACTGATGATTAAACATAAAAATTACAGGGTAATTCTAGCCAGTTCGCAGTATTACTAATAAATAAATAAATCGCCTGACCAAGTAAATCGAGCAGATCCCACTGATGAAATTTTCATCGCAAATTCCATAAATATTCTCCCAGAACAATGATCATCCTTTCCCCTTTAATATTCACAAAAATGTTGGAAAAACTTAATGAATACCATTTTCACCCTCACCGCTATTCACCCAGAAATTTCCCCATTCTCTCTCCATTCCATCTCCGCCTCCCTTTGTGCACACCCTAGACGTTAAACGATGGACGCCCAACGAGAACAGGGCGTAACACAATGTGATGCAAAGAAGACGTACACAACATAAATCCAAACCGAGGTTGACTCTCCGTGATGGCTCAAGGATGTTTTACACCACTCAACTCAAACTGCACAATGCACACTTGAGATGTAAACAATTTTTCATTCCCCCCATTCAAACACTTCTTATATTTTTTTTAACGTCTCCCTGGGAATACACATTTCGTTGGATTATAACGTGTTTGTTCATGATGTGCACGGTGGAGTAGGTAACTTGATGGAGGAAATGCGAGGCATCGTAAAACGGAATATAACACAGGGTAACTGGGATATGTGTGATGCAAACGGCGTCATAAACTGACGGGACGATAGTGACGTTTGTATGTACAGCAATGTGGTCATCCGAATACAAATCGTCATGGGCATAATCAAAACCATTTTTCAATGAAAAAATTATAATTTTCGTAGATTGACAGAGATTAAAGGATTCTAGCTTTCAGTGGAAATCTAGGGAGTTCAGTATTCTGTGGTATTGAAATGTACGGAGTACACGAAAACAATATAAACAATATAAATTATTTTGTTCTGTGGAAATAGGGGGAACAGACCAATTGCTGGACGGATAAGGGAAATTCGAGTTTCGTGGTAGGATCTAAAATAAAAGAATCACCCAAATGGGGATATGATGGCGTCCATAGATTCGAGAATATTGTAATTAGCAGAAAAAAATTATTTAAAATGAAAATAACACAAATAATAATTAACTTGAGAAATAGCTGAATGCAACCGTAACGTCGAATTTCTGGACGACTGGGCTATATTTTTTTTATTTATTAAATGTCCATCAATTGAAAAAATAATTGATCACATGATAATTCACAAGTAATATTATTGAAAGTTGAAATACTCAGTACAATTGTCATTTTATTATTTATGGAATATTCAATGGAGGTAGAAATCGTCTAGAAACTAACTCCCGTCCAAAAATTGACCTGTTTACCCTACTTTAGTTCTGAAAACTAGAAACTGAAAAAAAATCGAAAAAAATTATTATTTATTATTTGTTTCGAAAAACTTATTTTCCGAGAAGAAAAATTATCGTCAGTATAATGTACTGGACTACTGTAATATTTGAAATAATCACATTTACAATATAAAATATTACTTTCTTCATATATTAGCGTTTTTACTTTAGTTGTTGTTTTTATAGTCAATTTTGAAAATTCGCAAAAATTTTATTTTTCATACTTCCGGTGATTTTACTGCTTTCCATCTTCATAATCTTTCCCAAGGCACGTCAAATCCCACATTAAATCGTGCCTTCATCGCAAAATCTCTGCAACCCTCATCAAAAACAAGTCTCTATAAATTTCCATGAATTTCCCCAGCATCATCCGATCAATGAAATTCAGTGAAGCAAATGAGCATCAGTAAAATTATGAATATATACTGATGATATACGCATTTTTCGTGGAAATAATTCTGTATTCACGCTTTTTATGTGTGTCGTTAATTTCGCAATGTTATAAAAATGGATTTTTTATGTTTCCGTTGATTTATCTACACGGAGAGACAAATTGGATAAAAATTATATAAAAAATCGTGACGAATTTTAGTGTGCGGAAGACAATTGTGAAGCAAAATATAATTTAATAAAAAACTTTTTGCGGAGGATATCTTACGATTCGATCGCCAAAAAAAATCCACGGATACAAAATATATCCTTCCTGTACAGTGAAATCTCCCGCACCGATAGTATATTTTTTTGTGGCACCCATGTGAAGGAGATGAGGACGGACGAAGGTGAAATTTTATCATATCACGTTTGGTAAAAAAAAATCCTTCTCCATTACAGAAAAATTCCTAGGCATGTGTGAATGATTCCGCAATATTGAGCAGTTATTCGCGTTCACTGAGATAATTTTTGATGGAATTCCGGGTAAATTTTACAGTTTCGATACAAATTACCCTCATGATTAGTCAATTTTTTCTGAGTCAGCGAAAAAAATTATAAAATAGTAGGACAGAAATTCACTACTTCAAACAAAATTGTTTTTTTCTCCTATACCCTTTCGAGTTTTTACGATTGATCCCTTCCCACAAAAATTCCTACACATATGTTAATGAATCCGGAATATTGAGCAATTATTCACGTTCACTGGGATAATTTTTGATGGGATTCCGGGTAAATTTTACGGTTTCGTTACAAATTACCCTCATGTTTAGTAAATTTTTTTCGAGTCAGCGAAGAAAAATGTACTATTTCAAACAAAATTTTTTTTTGTTCTCATATACCCTTTCGGGTTTTTACGGTTCGATCCCTCCCCCCCCCCCACCCTCTGTACCGCATTCATCGAAGGACATCGGAAACCTCACGTGAGGAATAAAACTGTTCAGGTACAGTCGTCTTTGCGAGACTTCCGCTTCACAGCGAAACCGTGAGATTTAGAGTGTCACAAATTTGCCGCCCCCCAGACAGGAATCAAACCCAGATCCCCCATATGCCAATCTCACTCTCGAACCACACAGCCACCGCCGTCGGTCGAGAAAAATTCACTATTCGCCTCGCATTTTTCTCCTCAACATGGAATCCAAAAGACCTAGAAATGGATTCCGTTCCACGATTACTTGACATGTTTGGTCATTTTTCTCCAACTTTTTTCACTGTGTATATTCTACCTCTATAATGCTTCCTACGTGACGTTTGTCCTCCCTACTAGCAAAACATGCTTCGACCCTTGTCATAAAAATAGACATAGCCTCTCTCCATCAGTTATCTATAACGTGCCTCCTTCATCTAATTAATGGAGTTTAACGAAACCAATGAAAATCGGTAAAACGATCAATACAATTTTTGAACGGCTACTACATTTCTATTCCACGTTTCATCATCCACCTTAAAATTTTCGAAGTATGTGATTTTTTATGGTTTTATTCGTGCCTATTCTATCATTTTCACAGTTCTTTCTACATGACATTTATCTTGCTTACTTTCACAGCATGAAAGAAGTCGATTCCCGACATGATTCGGTCCGACTTGATTCAAACCGATTATTCAACTTAATTCAGCGCGATTTTTTTTCTGATATTCATCTGTGAATAACAGCACGAAAATATAATAATTTTTATTTTGTATTGTATCAGAATTCTGGTATAAGTTTTTGAAATTCACTAGAATTTATGGCTAACGTTTGAGATATTTCTTCTGTATGGAAGGAATTATTCTTTTTAAATGCATTGAAACATTTCAGGGTTCTCTCTCTGCCTGGGGCATAAAATAACTGGACTGTTCGAAAGACGCAACATTTTTGTTCTATGTTTATCACTCCTAATACACGGGGATACTTTCCCTCTATCTACAGGAATCTATCCTTCCTGAGTGTAAATAACCTAAAAGGGAGTTATTTCATTCCAGGCAGAAAGCAGTAAAATAGCCTTAACAATAAATACGTCAAAAGTACACTGAACAGGGGTTCATTTTCCGCTAGGGGCTTTTGTCTACCCATCTCATAATTTCGTAAATACATCGTTTTTCTATGATTTCCTTCATTTCTTACTTTTCCATCCCTACAATCCATCCAACATCCCATCTATGTATCTTGCTCACTAACAAAAAAAATTCTCAACCCTCCCGATAACAGTCGCCCTACATCAATTGCCGATGAATTTCGTCAAGCATCGTCTAATGGATGAAATTTCAATGAAATAGAATGTTGATGAATCAGGTCTTATTCTGGAGTAAAAGAAAATATCCTCCGCACAAAAAATGTGTATTTTACCGTTTCTGAAGGATATCTCATCCTCTTTTGACCAAGGGGATACAATAACTGGAATGTTGGAATGATTTAGCATTTTTTTGTCGTGCAGCACCCCTACAGAGAGGGTATTTTTTCCATTTATGCATAATTTCCCATTTCTTGGTGTAAATATTTTAGAACCCGGTTCTTTGATCTCCTAGAAAAAAATGATAAAATACCTATCATTTTTCCTGTGTCCATCTTATAATTTCGTGATTTCTCTTGGAGTTGATCATTTTTTTATGTTCTTTATTTTTATGACTCACGCGAAAAAGAATAATGAGACATCCCCTCCTGCTTCCAGTATTTTGTCCTTTCTCAATATTTCATCCTTTCTGTCGAGGGCATAAAATACTTCGAACTTTTGAATGATTCAGCATTTTTTTGTGTCTCTCCTGAAAAGGGCATATTTTCCTCTATTTAATTCATGGATAATCTCTCCTTTTTTTATGTAAATAATTAAAAACCGAGGTGTTTCATCCCCCAAACAGAAAAGAAAACAATACCTATTTTTTTCCGTGTGTCCATCCCATAATTTCATGAGTATGTTATTATTCTACGGTATCCTTCATTTCTCAATGTCTCATGCTCATTATCCTTCCCACATCACATCTTTCGTTCTCAAATTTTCATCACAAAAATAGTCCCACTCCATCAATCGTCTATAAATTTTTAATATAAAAAAAAATAATTCGGAATAATTCTAAGTATTAATAATTGTCAATGGAGTTCATTCAATGTCATATCTGACATAATCATCGCACAATTCAACATAACTGTAATAACTGTAATTGGAGATGGACTTGGATCACCTGGGAATGACTGACCTAGAGAAATACGCTTATAAAAAATAAATTCTTCTCCCAAGAAAATCAGTAGTGAAGTGGTAAACGGAGATAAGTCGACTTATCTCCCAGTTGAGTTTTTGAGGAATATTTCCGAATCTAAGGTAGATAGCAAAATTTTCGTAATTACATTTGTTGTAGCACTGAATCGGCTCCACAAAAAAGGTTATAACAAAAATTTTGCTATCTTCCTTAGATTCCGAGATATTGATTGAAAACTGGTCAGTAGTCACAATTGACTTATCTCCTTCTACCACTTCGCTACTGAAATGATTCCTTGACGAAAGCAATTTTTTTCCTCACACGGAGAGAAATTTCCAATAAAAATGAAGTATCTTTTCCGTAATTCTAGAGCGAAATGTGGTTGTGGGAAATTTTACCGAACCGTCACGGAATTTTTCCAGAGCGTTCCGTAATTTTTATCTAAACCTTTTGTGAAAAATTACGATACCGTCACTTAAATGTTCTGAGTCAATTCCGTAATCGGTGAGCGAATTGTGAGTTCTGTAATTTTTACTGAACATTTCTCTCCGTGCAGAGATGATCCCCCAGACAGAAAAGGCAAAACTACCCATCATTTTTCGAGTGTCCATCCCATAATTTCATGGGTACATTATTATTCTACGGTACCCTTCATTTCTCAATTTTTCACCCTCACAATCCTTCCCGCATCACATCGATCTCGCTCACTATTTTTTTGCTAAAAATTCTTCAACCTTCACCACAAAAATAGTCTGACTCCATCAATCGTCTATAAACTCCCGCAGCATCATCCAATCGATAAAATTGAGCGAAGCAAATGAACATCGGTGAAATTAAACTTCACAGAGGCGGAATATCGCAGCGTCTAATGGTGAAGCCTAGCTCCCCGAAGAGCCCAGCTTCTGAAACCAATTTTTCACAATTTGAAAGCACTCGAGCGCACACCCTCTAATATGAGTCCAGTGGAGCGTTCTCCAGTCATCCCTCTCCATTTCTCTCATTCCTTTATTGCGATGAAATGTTGTGATAAGTCCGGATATTATTGATCAACACATCTGTGAACGCCCTGTACACCGGAATTTTCAGTTGAACATGGGAGAATAGACGTGTGAATACACAGCGTCACTTGAGAGATTGAAAAGGCCAGATTGATTTGGCTCTGGGGGATGTTGTACAACTGGTGAACGTCAATAACACCAATTACTGGGCGATCCGGGCTTTTGTTTCCACTCTTCCTCCACTGACACTCGATAATGATCATTGGTTTTCCAATTTTTGTTTTTTTTTTGTTTTTCAGGGGCTCTGGAAGCCATCAGCTGTCTGCTACTGCTCTTCTGGGCAGCCCAGATGGGTCGAGACATCCATTGGACGTTTACGAATTCGCAGAGGAGGATTACAGATACCAAAATGGCGATGGTGCCTCTCAGTATCACAACAGCCGGTCGGGCATTGGAATTTGGGAGTGCCTCATGGGCTGCAGGCACAGACTCGATCAGCAGTTGGCGAGGAGAAAGGTGAGCTATTGTGAAATGTAAAGAGAAGAACAGACACGATACAGTAAACAAGACATTGAAACCCGCGAGTTTACCACCCTCGGCTTCGCCTCGGGCACACTGATAGACTGATTCATTTATTCCAAACGAGATTCGTTAACTATTAACGAATGGTAGAGTTGAATATAACCAAATGAATATTCGTTAATAGTTAACGAATGCTTCACTTGAAAGATGAAAATCGAGTCAAACAAGTCTCCTTAACCATCCTTAACTGTTTACTTTTAGAAGGAGTTGATGAAATAAGTGAGAAAAATTTTCATTTTTGAAAATTGGAGGTATTTTTCATGAATAATTGACAAACAATCAATTTCCATCATAAAAATCATTTCAGGAGCGAAGCAGTAAACCGGGTCAAGTCGATTTTAACTGTTGGCCAGTTTTTGACGAATATCTCGGAATCTAAAAGAGATACAAAAATTTTTGTTATAACCTTTTTTGTAGAGCCAACTAAGGATTACAAAAAAGGTCATGAGAAAAATTTTGATATCTCTCTTAGATTCCGAGATACTCATCAAAAAATGGCCAAAAGTAAAAATCGACTTAACCCGGTTTACCGCTTCGCTACTGATTTGTTCTGAACCTTCACAAAGGTTTCCGAAAGTTTAAACAATTTCAATTATTTACTATTATTTACTATTTATTAACAACGAATGTTAAAAAAATAATAATAATTCTGCGCAAAATGTAATTTAAGTGACGCTGAATACTCATGATTTTTTTCCCATTTTTGTCACGCCATTTGATTGACAAATTTTATGATTGGAAATGGTTGAATCTATAGTGTAGTCTATACCAAACTATAAAAGATACTCGAATATCCTTAAATCGAATTCAATGTTTTTTTTCCGAAAAATTCAGCCGAATTTTTTTAACAGTTTTTTTTAACAGATAACACTTAACAATTAAGAGGAAATGCGGTGGGGTGATGAGTGACCCCAGTGCACCCATAGAGTTAAAAAGCTCCTCTGAGCTATTCTCAGTTATCGCAGTTGCGCCTACAAACAAGAACACAAGTGTCCCTGATAATCTCATTCCCCTTTTCCTGAAACTCGCTTCAATGTCAAATCTATTTAAGCCTCCAATCGTGCAAACCAAAACTTCTGTTCCATTTACCCCAGAACAATTCAGGTGAAAATGATAAACAACTTCTCGAACTCGGTTATATTAAGCCACTCCTTTCCGCAGTTTATGTCCTTGACACCTTTCCCCCCAGTATTTTTGTTTGCAATAACACGAGTTCCAGTACTGACAGAGTTATCTTCATCTTGTGTATGCTGACCCAGCGTGAAGAGTTATTAGCATCGATCCAACTAGAGGCCAGAGGTGGCAATTGTGTTAGCCACCCACACATTACCTGCAAAACAATTGGGCCAAGTTCGCCGGTACTCCCCCCTCCACCATTTTGTGTTACAGTTCGATATTTACCATCATGACCCTCTGTCACGATCGTTTTCCCGTTTAGAAATGTGTCAGTCCATCAGTTTCTCCACAATTCTTTGGATTCTCACACTGAAAACATTTTACGATTCTCTACAACTTTAACTTCCTGCTCTGCACTGTACACTCTCAGTTCTTCCTTTGTCTCCCCCCCCCCCAATCCCTGAGGTAGTTTCTAAACGTTGAGAATGGGAGGAGAGAGAAATTACTACAGGGAAAGCTTTTCACGAGTCGGAGCCTCTCAGTTTTATCCCCAGAAAAAAGTGGATGAATACAGAGCAAAGGAGGGGAAATAGAAAATCACATGGGGCGAATGGAAGTTGAGAAGATTTTAGTTTGAATTAAGCTGAGTGGGATGATGTTGTTTGATGTAATGTGATTCTTTATAAGTATAATTGGGAGTGGAGATGGAATTACATGGAGAAATATGAACACTTTTGCTCTGAAATAATGGAAAAACTAGACATTATTTGTTCGTGAAGACATGCCTTTTCTTCATTAAAATCAGGAACAGAATATCATGTTTCTGCATAAAAATTCTGCGTTGTATTGCATGACATTCATCAAAACCAATTTTGTTTATTATTCCATTTCCCGTATACCTTTGGGTTTTTACGATTTCTTATTCCTCCATCGCGCTTTTCCGCATATTTGTTTTTTCCCAAACGTTCTGTCTAGTTTTTCCAAACAATAGTTCTTTGCTGAGATGTTCCCGCGCAATCACCTATCCATCTAGTGACCACGCTCAGCGCTGCTTAGCTTCCGGTAGGGCTTCATCAAAACCAATTATAGAAATGTATGATGAATGGAAAAGAAGTCAATCAATCATTGAGTGATCTTCCCCTTGAAATTCTTTATGTAACCCGATTTGCAATGTAATTTACGAAATTCATGAGGAGTCCATTAATACGTCACTAATTTTTCAAATATTAATTGAAAATTACAATGACAAATAATCAAACAATATTTAAATAATTAATTGATAGTTGATTAATTATTTTTAGGATTTTCGTTAGTAATCACTGATGAATAACTGATTTCAAAGACAAATTTATTTACGAATAAATTATTCATCCGCATATATGGCATATGTGTATCATTATGAACCGCGCTTCTTGCAATGATATCGAGAAATCATGAACTATGTGCCGTTCTCTACACGGAGAGAAATGTTCAGTAAAAATTACGGAAGGCTCTGGAAAAATTCGGTGACAGTTCCGTAAAATTTCTTACAACCACATTTCGCTCCGGAATTATGGAGAAGATACGTAGTTTTTATTGAATATTTATCTCCGTGTATCATGTTCACGTGGGTGAATGAATATCGTGATAAATGCGAAAAAAACTTGAAGCAAGATTATTATACTTGATTCGAGTAGTGCTGTATCGCTGATTTGAAATTTATGAAATTCAGAAATCAAGAGAAATCATTATTATCATTTATATGCTTCATTCTTGATTTGAAAATATTCTAGTATCTTCTTTCGACAACTACATAATACACAGACACACTTTCCCTTATATTCCTTCACCCTACTTATCCTCTGTTTTCTCCCCTTGTTCCAGAGAAAAGAAGAAATAAATTCTAAGTAATTGTGGTAGCCCTCAAGAGTAAGAAACAAGAACTCTAGGATTATGTTCTCGAATAGGGAATATTTCATTATTCCCCAGAACAAAAAAAATGTTTCCTTTGTTCGGAGAGATTTTCCGCTGTGTCAAGTAACACAGAAATTAATCGATGCTCTCCGAAGGACGAAAACTTTTGTTTTCTGTGGGAAGTTTTGTTTATTCACGTTTTGCGATGAGAATAAATTTCAAACGCACGTGTAATACATACGGAATCAACATTCGCTTGGCGAAAAAATTCGATTTTGGCGAAAGTCGACGTTCCCTAGGGAAAAACAGAATATCTAACCCTTTGGCTCCGGATGAAAAAAAAAAATATTTCCAGTTTTTACTTTTTCCACATACTTTCAGAGTTTTGAATAGCCTGTCGCTCAAATCATTGGAATCAACGTTCACTCGGCTAAAAAATTCGATTTTGGCGAAAGTCGACTTTCCCCCTGGAAAAACCGAAAATCTGACCCTTTGGCTCCTGGTGAAAAAAAAAATTATTTCGACATTTGTCGCGCTTCCGGGGGTTTCAGTGGCATCAGAATCGTTAGAAAATACAGAATCAACCTTCACTTAGCTAAAACATTAAATTTCATTTCAAAGGGACAATCTGACCCTTTGGTTCCGGATGGAAAAAATTCTTTCATTTCGACATTTGTCGAGCCTCCGGGGGTTTCATTAGCATCAGAATTGTTAGAAAATACAGAATCAACCTTCACTCGGCGAAAAAATTCAATTTTGGCGAAAATCGTCTTCCACCCTGACCCTTGTCCCACGTGAAAATGAATTTTTTTTTCGTTTTTTCTGTCACCTCCGAGGGTTTCATTGGCATCAGGGGGTCAATAAATACAGAATCAACGTCACTATTTTTAATCACTATTTTTTACTTGAACACCGCCTGCAAACGGGAAGATGAGGGTGGCTAAAATATATTCTGCAACCCTCTCTCCTCGTTGGCTACAAATTTCACCCTCCGCATACATGTTTTCCCCTCCACCCCCTCGTGAAATCCCGAGGTCTCGGTAGCATAGAGGAGGGCTTCTCAGCGCCGAAAAGAACTGGGGATTCGAAAGGTCTCCGGAAAACTACGTCCCAGAACTGACTAGGACCTACCAGGTCAATCTAGTCTGGAGAGATGTTGAAAGACCTGTGTACGTCCAATCAGAACGAAATCCTCGACTCGGGCACCAAATATATAGCGTCTCTTCTTTAATGTAAAGGAGGGAATTTATATATAATTCTTGAAATAATTGTAGAAAGTGTATCGAACCTTTTTTTTCATCACAATGTGTGAAATTTTACGCACGCTCTACGTGCGCACAATCTCACTTTATACACAAGTGATAAAAAAATTTATTTAACTCAAATAAAGTGCTTCTCTGGGTGTGATAAATATCACTTTAACGAATGTGATTATTGCAGACGTTGCCCAACTCCTCGACCAACTAGTGCGTTAATATACTGTTTCCACACGTATTCCTCATAAATCTGACACCTCGTCTGCAGTATATTCCTTTATTTCTCCATCATTTACTCTTCCCCTCTGTCTCCTGCCTCGTTCAGTAGAAAGGAAGAAACGATGCTTGGGTTTTTCCGAGGGACTCTCGGCAATAGGATGTTTTCGCCGCTCTCCTCGAACGCCTTTATTCGGCATTTTGAGGAGAACCACGGATAAAGGGAGCGAAAGAAAATGAATAAAGAAGATAGAGACTGGATTGCGACGCAGATCCCTCGATTCTCACGAAAATTGCTCGTTCCATTCGTCCTCATATATCGTCTGACTAGACACAGGGGTTCTCCCCTTGATGCCTAGCAATTGTATTCCAGCAACTCCATCACGGGAAAGTAAATAACGATATAAAGCAATTACAATTGGAGATGTAATTACGAACCTTTTAGCTTCTTAT